CTAAAATCTTATCAATTTTGAAAGCAGAACAAAAATTTGTATAAACTTAATTTAGTTTCATCTAGGTTATATTATTATACAACTGATTTTAATTTTATTGTGAACATGCCAAGAGTAAATTTAAATTGTTAAATTTTTTTAAAACAATTAGCATTTATTTATTATGTTTATTTATTTATTATATAATAATTTACTAACATAAAGTTTAATGTAAACTATAAAGACTTTTAATAGTTGATCTATTTCAAAATATTGTATTAATAATTAATAAATGATTATGTTTAATAACTAACATATAACTTTACAGTCTTTTGAACATAATAATGAACATAATATCTTATATAGGTATTATTTCTAGGTTTTAAATACTATAAGTTCCGTCATCAAATGATCGTATTGAATGACCATAACTTATAATACTTCATTCGTAGGTGAGTCGTACGTAGGTCGTAAGTACATATTATTATGTATACCCCTAAATACTTTATTCATATGAATATTATGTTACCTAGTACTTATAAAGTAACAATTCAATTGTAAATTATACAATTTTATAACATGTAAGTCCTCAAAAATAAAAATAACTCTTTCATTGTTATCGTGGCGTCTTAATTTTACTAGGTAGGTAACTATGTATAATATATTATATATATATTTTTTTTTATTATGACTTATGATTTAGTTTTTTGTCCTTGAGAAAAAAACTACCCTTGTAAAAATATCTGATCGGTCCCTTTGAACACCGATGATGGCTGCGGCGGCTGAATTCTATATAACCCTAACTAAATAAATGTTTGTATTGTACCGAAAGGATTTATCCCAGAAATATGTTCGACCCTATACACATCAATTTCTTTAACATAATGTAAGTCTATATCGGTAAGGACCAAGGACACTTTTTAGCGTCAAGCATTGTACTGAAATTCTCCAGTCAAAATGTCAACACATATAAACACGTTTAATACCATAAATATGATAGTATCTGTAATCTGTATCTAAATACAGACATTTCAAATTCAAACTTATGAAACTAAGACAACTTATTTTGATGTAATATGTAGATATAACACTTAGTATACCTACCTGAGTATATAATACTCGAAAAAGTATTCATCTTCCCATTTAAGTTTATTTATTTTGTTTCTGTGGCTTATGATTTGGTTATAAGAACATTTAATACTATATATAATATCATAATATTATCTGTTTTTCTAATAATTATTATGAATTTGTGTCATAACATGTATATTATTATTATTATTATTATTATTATTATTATTATTATTATTATTATTATTAATGTCTTAATTAATGTATTATTTTCTCATAGATACCAATTTTTTTTAAATAGAAGTAAAACTTTAACAATGTTCAATAATTTTTAACACATTTTTAAAAACGTAATTTATTTAGTCACGTAGTGCTAATATTATTCTTTGTATTTTAAAATAAGTAACTAAAATATTTAAAAACGTTAAACTATATATATATTTAAATGATGCATGATGTGTAAATGTCTATTAAATATTAGGTTGTCACTTGTTTTACATTCAAATTGCTTTTCAAATATTTTGTTTTATGCCATATGAAAAATGCAGGTTGTTAACAGGTAATTTATTATTTATAATTATAGAATTAGAACATATTTTGCATCATAAATAAAGATATCAATCGACTTCATTGAACTTTTAAGTTACGTAATAATTGATTAATAATTATTTAATGGGTTTTTAATTATAATTTACACAATGATTTTAAATAATACCTAAAACTAAAACCAAATAATTATTTTAATTAATGGTGATAATTGTTTTAAATGCCTATTAGCTTATGTTATGTCTATTTACTGAATTTATTAAACTACATACAATAATATAATTGACTGTAAAATTATAAAAATCAGTTTATAGATACCTGTAGGTAATATTAGAGAATAATAATTATAATCTAGGCTCTCAAAGTAAATATCATAGAATTATATACAATGATTTATGTTGGAGTTAAAATAATTGTTACTTGTTAGCGCTAGTTATAACTAGCAAAAATGATAACTGTTAAACTGTGCTATTGTTTTAATAATTTTACATGGAAAAAAGTTTTTTACATTCTTTATAGATACCTACAAATTATAATTTGACGATTTAGTGATTTGAAAATATTGCCTATGCATTTATCAATATTCAATTATATTTTGGATAAAATACACCAACTACCTGGACTATCGTAATACATTAATATGACACTTTGAGTAGGTACCTATATTATAATGATATAGGTATCTAATATTACCTATTCTAAGTGAGGTATGTTATTAAATCTGTGATAGTTGTTAAATTTTGTTTTGAGTTTTTATATTTATTTCATTTTAATGCACAGGATATGTATACATTTTTTTAAAGGTATGGAGACCAAGATTTACTTAGGCGTTACTTGTTATATGTCTAAATGAGTTATTACGATATCCAAATTATTTTTTGCGACTATAATAATTATTGTACAAACTATAGCTACCTATGTCGTTAAATCTACATTACTATAGTTGCTAAGTGACAAATCACAAGGTCATATCATTATGTATTAAACTAGTTTAATTATTTGTTTACAACAAAATTAGTTCGAAGTTAAATAACAAAATTAATTTAATATCGATGATATATAATATGCTACTGTATAGTTTTATTCATCATTGTTGTGAGTAGCGTTGCTTAAGATAATAAATGGTCAGGTAAATAGTAGATAATTGGAATAATAATAAATACCAAGCCATATTATAATATTAATTTATATTACATTTTCTTTAGATAGGCTAAATGTGACAATAAACGTATTAAGATAGTTATGCAAAAGTTGGATAGTTATTGGTAGCCTTAAACAATGGGAAATTATGTTACGTAAATCGTGTAAAACATCAATTAATAATTAATGTGACAAGTTAATACATAAACTAATTTTCATAAAGATTTGGGGATTTTCAATGTGTAAAAAAACGGATGCGACCAAATTGAGAAATTGGTTTACTTGTATGGAATTAGTTTTGTTGGTATAATATTAGTAATCGTAATATTTTATTTTCATATTACCCATGTATCCAGAATATTATTTGTCTAAGTACAAATATCATCACCTATGGCAGAACGTTCATGACAATGTATATTAATAATAAAATAAAACAATTATACACTATTTCACATCACTATTTGAATTTTAAGTTAACATATAAAATATAAATAATTTAGTAAATGGATTAAAGACTAAATAAAACCCATTGATATAATATATGTTTTATCTTATTAAACTCAGTCTTATTATGCACATAAGGATCATGACGTTGGTAGTAAGTATCTAAATAAATATTAAAATATAATATATAAGATTAAGTTATAACTTCAATTTACACAGTTTAGAAAACATACCTATATTATCGAAAACCGTTTAAATATGTTGAACTTAAATTATAGTCTACAGGTATAATAAAAACTTGTTCTGAACTGTATATTGACATTTTGAACAAAAGGTTATCTATACAGTATACATCTATATGTACCTAATTTAATTTATAGTGATATTATTTATGTTAATCATTCGTATGGTAAAAGTGAGCATTGTTTTTTGTATTTATTTGTTAGCAACTGAAATAGTAGGTACACTGTTGTAGTATATTATGTATAGTACCTATACTTTATTATTGTTAGACTTTATTATGACGAACTATATATTATAGTAGTATTTGTTGTATTAAGTATATAACACACATTTATATACATCATACATAGTTTACCTACCTACTACAAGGATTTAATAATGCAACAATAAAACTACGTGTGTACGTACACTTAAAAATGTCAAGATCTCTCGATACACACCCGTATGATACGAACACGTATAACATATATGTGTATACTTATACAACCCTTTATTAACCTAAGAATTAATATTTTATAACATTTGAGGACTGTCGGCCCGGAGAAAGGAGAATACATAGTTTTTAAAACGTTTTGTGCAGGTATATGCTGTTGGTAGTAGATCCACCTACTACGTATACTTACCTACAGAAAACCTCTACCTATACCTATCTGTAAACGTAGTATTATATACATTGTGAATGGTAATACCTAAGCTCTTAAAAATAACAAAATAGAATATTTGTAGAATTGGTACCTACAATCATTTATAGACGCATTTAAAGTATTATATTAAAATAATAGTGTCTAATTTATCCAATTTTATAATCTAGTCACCTACCTAGGTACTTACTTCAAATTTTCACCTATTAATATAAACCTTAAATTAGAAACTGATATCTAATGTTATAGAGTGTTTACCTATACCAAAGATAGATTACAATTTAATACATTGTTCACATAAACTTCAAGATTCAATAATCATGATTATGTATGTACAGGGAGGTATTAGAGTATTACTGAGCTATTGCCTAGTACTTATGTAGATTCTATATTTTATAAAATTTTTTTCGGCAATACAATTTCTACAATAATTAGGTATTGACTGTTAGGTATATCAATATAGGTACATTTACTATTTATATTCATTAAACCATGTAGGTACTTAACTATACTAGTCTACTTGTAAACTGTGTTGTAATAATTTAGTTTACATATATTTATTATTAACGAGTATTGATTATGTATGTTAATATTATCTATAACAGGCAATAGTTAAGTAGAAGGGAAACACGGGGCTCATATTTTTCAAAATTTATTTCAGTAGATAGCGCCCTCTAGGACACCAAGAAACCAGACTCGTGTGACTGCAAAAAAATTATTGCACAAATTCAAATTTCAAAATAATAATACCTACCTACTTCATAAGCATAAATAATAAATGTACCTATATAATAAAGTAATCATATTGGTCTACAACGTATTGCACGATAACTCCTTTACACCTATCTGACAGAGGTATATATAAAAAAATCAACTTCATGCGTATGTATCATGTTGGTAGTCGATAGGTTATAGTCTATAGATAAATAAGCTTACCAAGTCGTGCGCAGCCGTTTCGCCAGTGGCTACACGAACCGGATTCTGCTTGATGCGGCCAATTTTGAACGAATAATGTCGAACCTTGTCCGGTAAAAGGCGGGAAAACTCGGGTTAAAGCAAAGTAGGTAAAACCAAAAAGCACTCACTAATTAGTAAAATGTCTTCACGAAATTTCGTCGTAAAGAATATTGGCGATTATGGAACGTCACACGTATACTATAGGCGTATAATATAATATTTAACTCCAAGTATTATTATCGTAATTACACAGAAGAAAAAGTATTACTTTTTTTCCCCAGAAACTGTTACAAAAACATGATACAGTGTCTTTCGTGTTACCTATATATTAATACAGGGAGATAATATACAAAATTATATCAGATATTAATTAATGAGAACGCACACGATAAACGGTTTCGGAGAGCAGACACGGTGTACACCGGTTACGGAACGCGGCGATGCGTCTGTGCACTGTTGCGACTGTTGCGAGCGTATTGCGACCGGCTGACTCGACAGCATCGGCAGCGGCGGCGAAAGGGGGCCAAACCCGACGGTGGCCAATGGCGTGGACACCGGTGCTACGACCACGCCTCCCCCCTCACCGTCAAACACATAACGATATTATGTGAATTCGGGACGCGGTAGTTGTGTATTATATTATCCCTACGTCCAAGTATTTGCCATGTTATACACAATGCACCTAAACATATTACATATTGTACCTATAATGTTATGTGTATGACCAGCTGTGGTACTAAACTGGTACTACTTGGTTTTGGGTTTTTCTTATTTTTATAATGTGTTATTGACAAGATATCATCTAACTCATTGATTACATTTTAAATATTTTTTATCAGTTACACAGTTGATAATGCATAATTTTATTATTCACAAATTGCTTACAACTTGGTTTTGGTATAGGTATAGCCATTAGCCGTAGGTACTATATACAGTGCGTATACAATAATGCACGAGTTCTACGCCTCTATACATATATTGGCAATTATAATAAGTATACAATAATAGGTACCTATACCTGTATTATTTTGTTACAGGAAAGCATAAAATATAAAACAGGGAAACTCTGCTGATGGTATATGTTTTGATGAGTAATTAGGTAACTTCATCAATATGAGTATACTCATACCTATATAGGGCAATAGATCACAATGATCACAATGATCACAATGAAGTGTGTTATACTTACGACTTACCTACCTCCATTTAATGGAAGTGTTTAATTTGAATTTAATGATAATAAACCATTGGATATTTAAATGAAGAACGATTCAGAGCTGATATATTAAGTCTAGCCTCGTCTACTTCTAAGGATATTTTAAAAATATTAAGTTTGTATGTTTTTATGTGCTTACTATGTATTGGAAATCAATTTTTATTTATTTATTTTTTCTACACAAGTATATTACGGTAGGTAGGCTGAAATGTTTCATATTGTATAACAATTTTTGAATAAAATGTATTATTAAATATTTTTTTTACCCTCGGCAACATCGACCATTATTGGTTGTGTAGAGGTCACAGTTGATGAACAGTTGGAACGCGTGTTTTTATATGGGCAAGGATTCTTCGCGAAAAACCCGGATGGTCACCCATCCAGGAGACTGTGACGCCGGACGATGATTGACCGCATTAGAGATTGCCGGTCAACCACTAGGCCTCACATTATTAATTTTATTATTATAATATTTAATGTTAGGTATATGTACTTAAATCACTCACATTATTATTTTAGGTAAATGCGTCCACATCGCCTCCTGTATAGTTATACGTCACCGCTGCAGTAGTATACTGCATGAATTACAATAATAAAACTAAATACTTCCTAACTAGACCTATATGGACCCTATACTAAAATATTTACCTATACCAATAGATTTAGACGATTTAGTACTATAAACCAGTAACCAGTCTCACAGGCGAGTTGAAGATTGTATTTAGCATTGTTTCTGCTCAAATAATTGTACAATAGTTATAGGTTATAATAAATAAGTTCATTCAACAACCAATGGGATGAGAAATTCGTTTATATTTAAATTAAATTTTGTAATTATTATAACATATAAATCAAATCGTTGTGTATAATTATTGCCAAATGTGAATCAGCGTTGATCGTATAGACGCAATTACGTGTTTTATAACAATTAAAAAAGGAGACATTTGTCTAATGAGATACCATTATATTAAGTTTCTGAATTTTTGCTATCAATGTAATAAGATATTTTTTATATGCAACAATAGATTGATTTTGACCGCCTTCTAAAATGCAATAACTATATAAACACCTAAAAATCTTAAATGGTAGAAAAGAAAACGATTTTTTCGAGGTAAATTTTATTTGGAGAATTTTCACATTATAATAAATAGGCACCTATATGATATAATAATATTAATATAATCGTTATCTATACCTATATGTATGGTTAATATTTTACAGAAGTAGGGAGAGGACTAGGGGATAGTTATTAGGGTTGCATTTACGTTTAATAAATGCACAGTTATATTTTTGTTTTATTCGGTTATACCTACATATTATTGCAGTGATACTTACTCGGCTAACATATTTCAAAATAAACAATCAAGAAATCACAAAAAATTGTAACTACCTATACCTATTATAATATATATTAGTACTGAACTACTGAACGTATTTTTGATATTAATTTAGATTCTGAGCAGAGTGATGTGGGTACCTATATTGAATTTACAATGATGATTTTTTTGTGTCTGTAATCGTCTTTTCGAACTGTATATAAATTATGCTTAAACATACACATCAATATCTTTTCTCATGGCAAAGTGAATTTAGTTGGTATACTTAAGAAAGTCGAAAGTCAAAAGTCAAAAGTGTGAACATTGTAGTAATCCAGAAATTTTCATAATAATATTATGCAGTGTATATTGTGTATATTTTGAAATAAAATGGGCTAGACAAAACTCGTATGCGTTTTTTTCGTTGTCCAGAAGATAATTTCTGTAATGTTTAAATTCTATATGTTCTTGTTACGTTTCGTATAATTGCAAATTTTTGTCGTCAGTATTTTTTTTTTTCGTACAAAATTGTATTGATTTTTTTGATTTTTAAATTTTTTTTCGTGTCACTTTATAACGTTAATGAATAATAATAGTTCAATTTTTATTGCTAAGAAAACTCGATTTAAAAAAAAAATTGAATTAGTTTTATTGTGTAAATAACTATAGAACGAAAAACAAAGTGCGTGAAGTTGGCACCTCCACTATTTGTGCTACAAACTATCCTAAGCAAGTATTTTCATTTTTCAAATTATTTGCTTAAATTTGAAAAGAAATTTTTGAAATTTGTATGCTTAGTCAATCGATGCAAAATAATGTTGTCTGGGTGATGACAATTTTAAGTTACCTATTTTAAAATTTGCTTAGCGATTTTTAGGATTTGCATAGGTACTTATCAAAATACATAACTCATAAGTATAGTTATTACTGAATTCTAAAAATAGAATAATACCTGATATATAACTTTTTACTTTCTTGATTTTTAATCAAGTCAGTAAGGTAATTGAAATGAAAAAAGTCTGAATTTTAAAAACTTCAAGAATTTGTGTTTAATAGGAAAATGTAACTCAGTAATAAAGAGTAAGTGGGTAATTAAGCTAGCTTTAATTTAAAATATTAATGAGAGAGATTCAGTATCACAACCAATAGCGGTATAACGATTTGAATCCACGAAAACACAGTCCCAAAATGTATATTATTCAACTTTTCTCCTAAACTACGATAACTAGAAAGTTGGTTGGTAGCTCATTCAAAAAGGATTATCAAGTACCTAGTTAAAACAGTTAAAACATTTTAAATCAAAAATTGTTAAACAAAATAATTTAATTTTTTACAGTTAAAAAAAGAGTTATTTTTTGCTAGATTTTCATTTAGCGGAATATATTTCAGAAATTGGACAACGGATTTTGTTGTTTGGGGTCTTGTTAGATTCCCATTGACTAAGAGAAGTGCAGTTTTCAGATTTTCAGAACTTTATCTGCAATCGTTAATTTACTACATGGGTAGCTTTAAAGCTGAAAAAAGCAAAAAACGCTCAATTAAATGCGTTTTAATTTTTATTAAAGCTCTTTAGTGAATTAGCTATTATAGGTAAAGTCCTGAAAATCTTTACTGCACTTCTCCGAACCAGTGTGGATCAAACAAGATCAGAAATAATAAAATCCGCTCTCCGCCGGTTTAGGTTCTCACTAAATGAAAATGATTTTATTTTTTTGGATTTAAATTGTTATACTGTTTGCGTGTCGGAAAATGTTCATATTAGGTATCTTCACTATTCGTTATCAAGGAAATTTAATAAATAAAACAAGCAATATGACTTTAATACCACTTAAACTCAGACCAGTTATATTCAACCTACTAATTACCTAAATTCTGCTGTAATCAAATATCTTCTTAAAAAATGAATTAGCAATTAATAATTTCCTTTCAGTACAATTTTGGTTTAATCTTTTTGCAAAAAATACATACATATGACATCCAGTTAGTAAATTTCTGAAAATTAAAAATCAAGAAAGTTTACACGCCGATCTCTCACTTGGCAAGCGTTTTTAAAGACGCATTTGAAGTCCAAATTTTGACGAAGAATAATCAACTTAAGTTAATTTGTTGTCATTTAAAAATATGGCTCGGGAGGACTTGAAACTTGTAAATACGTATTTTATAATGCCTATTTTACTTATAGATAGGCGGTACCTATTCACTCAGTTTTATCATCGGTACCTACCTATTTACTCGAATTTAATAACAATTTACCTAGTCAACAATACGTACAATCATTTTTATGTTTTCAGTAAAAAGTAATTTAACCTAAGCCTATAGGTACCGTTAAACTGATAATAGTAAAGCAAATTACTGTATAATAATTAATACCTACTACCTAGCTATAGGTTTATTATAATCTATATGTAGGTACTGTAGAGGTACCTAAAATAAAATAATATGATAAAACATATTTAGTGATAATGCTAACGTTGAAGTCATATTGCAATAAACTTTTTTTATAAACTTCAGTGAGAAAAGATAATATAAGGAATCTTGTATTATTATATTTTTGAGCTTTATAGTTGGTATTAAATTAAAAATTGTATGCATTGTTGACTACAAAAATTTTTAAAATGTTCATCACTATGTAGAAATTTGTAAGAAATAAGAATTAGAACTTCGAATGTTTATGAAAAAAAAAAATGAGAAAAAAAATTTTGATAATTTTTAAATGCTCTAAGAATAACTTATGGAATGTGCTGTAACTATTACTGAGCAGTTTGACTCAATTGTCCATACCATAATATCATTACACTAATGAAAATCCACTTATCTATATTTTACCAATTGTTCAGGAGAGTGAAAAAACTGAATAACAAATATACACCTCATATTTTTATCAAGTTTAAATTAAATTATGATTATTCAACATTATTTTTAATAAAATTC